ACAGCTAGTTTTGATTCCTGTGTTACCTTAGAGACTAAAGGGATTTTGGAGGTCTAAGCTTTCGAGTGTTAAAGCATCTGACAAAGGGTACTTTGACTCTCAGAAGCTCACAACTCCCAAAATCTTGTTGGTTCTAAGTGCGACTGGACTTGAATCTAGGTACCTACATGAATACCCCATTACTACAACACCCATGCTCACTTTAATTCAAAGAGATGCGCAGGATTCCCCCTCCCCCCCCCTTTTTAGATTAGAATTTCGCACACAAATTCAGCACCATCAGCTTGCTAGGACGAGACATTTAAGGGACACAGAAACAGAGAGAATTCAATTTTGAGACATAAAAGCTTTTCCATTTTAATAATGGAAAATGCAGCCTCAATACTCTAGAGGAAGACAGGAAACAGAATGTACAGCTAGGCATCACCAGTGTAGCCCAGTTGCAAGATGAAATTTCAGTTCTGAAATGTTCAGACTAACATCTGAGCATCTAGTCTATTGTAGTGAACTAAATACCATCCAAACATCAACAAGGTGACTGGCTGTACCGCTGTGCCCTGGGGCATTATTTTGTGAATCAAGGTTCCTGTGCCTGTTTTCTAACCACTGATCTGGTGCTTAGTATTAGTACCATCTTCTGCCAGCATGGTCCCTTTGTGTTGTCTCAAAGTACAGAAATCCATTTTCCCCATAGTGATCCTTCCTGCCTTCTCATAATAGGCATATTAATGCTGCATTAAGGGGTGTTAGATAGGAGGAGCTTCTAACAAACTGCTGATGTTGGGGACAGTCTTTTTGGTGACTGCGAAAGAATATCAGCAAGTTTGCCAGCTATCAGTTACCTTGACCAAAAGCAGTTGCTATAAGTGTTCAGTAATATTTAAAATCAATAGTAATTAAGTGCCATCACATCTCAACCAACGTACAGCGACCCCTCGAGAGGTTTCCAAGGCAAAAGACGAACAGAGGTGGTTTCCTGTTGCCTTCCTCTGCATAACAATCCCAGGCTTCCTTGGCAGTCTCCTGTCCAAGTATTAACAATGGCTGACCCTGCTTAGTTTCCAGACTCCAATGAACTCCAGCCAGACTGGGCTACTCGGTCATATTTATGTTACCCAAATCATTAATATTTATACTACCATAAAACTTAAGAGTTGTTGGACCCTTCACCCCCAAATCTAGCTACAGAGCCTTTAACAACAGCCTGCCAGACAAAAATTTAATCCATGAGGCTTTCCCCACACTTTTATTTGTGCCAAGAAAAATTTAATCTTCTAGTTCTACAACACTGAGTTGTTACAGAGACTTAAGGGGGGGAGAGTCGGTAAACCTAAATCCATCCAGACCTGAATATAGCCAATCCAGCTCTTATCACTATTCGCTATAGAATAAGTGTGAATGCCTAACACCAGGTACAAGAAAGGATTACAATTTATGTCCCCTGTTGGAACAGTGTGATCCAGCTTAGCTTGGCTGCAACCAAAAGGAGAAGGCAGTTATTTAGCCTGCAGCTTAAAAAAAATAAGGGAATAAAGCACATGATAAAAACAGATTTTCTGTACACAATTACAGCTGTTCTACCTCCAAACTGAACATTCCAGAGGACAGCCACTGGACTCTTCCTTCTACATTTTCTCAAATTCCAGTCCTCCAAGAAACCCTGGGAAAAGGAGATCTGCCAATGTATTTCTAGTTTGCTTTCTGTGATCTGAGAGGGCGGGGTGGGGCCCAGTGCATTTCAGGGTTCTTTTGTGTTAGTACATTAATAAGAATGTACTTCAAAAATGAATTGTAGGGCTACCACATTAGCAGATCAGAAGAGCATTCAGAGTACTGTGGGGTGCTTTGTTATACAACTGAAACATGACTGTTGTAGTTCCTCATAAGGGAAAACGTATGGGGTATAGAAAAAAGTTCTTCCTATATTTTTCATGAGCACACTCGTGCCAGACTAAGCTCGTAGACTGCCTATCACTCTTGGTGTAAAAATGACTAGTCACCATTCGGGGGGGGGGGGGCTCCTATAATGGCAAAACATTGCCAACAACCATGGGAAAATATGAGAGATTTTTTGGACGACCAAATGACAGAAAGGGAAGTCTATGTATCTTTTGGTATTTTTAAATTTTATGAAGTACTTACAGAGCAAGGGAATTGGGTGGGTGGGGAGACAGTGCTGCTACAAAAAATAATGGCTCCAAAACAGAATGTGAATTTTGTTTGAACTAAAAAGTGTTATTGTGATAAATGTTATTTTAAAAGGGTGATTGTTTTTCCTGTGAACAAGTTTGTGATTTTTTTTGTAATTTATGTAAATAAAGTGCTTTTTTAATTATTTGAGTCTCTATGGGTATCTAGAAAGCATCTCATCTAACTCGGAGGCCAGCTGGACACCTGTGAAACAAAGGAGGTAGAAGTGACTGAGCAGGCCTCTGTCTCCCTGAAAGCCTGGACATTCACCCCGCACTCAGATTCTAGCTAGGAACCCAGAATGTGCCATTAACAATGGGCCTGCCACATAAGTTAAGTGGCACAAAAGAGAGCTCCTAAGGAAAAGGTAATACATATAAGCATGTTTTAGTTTTATTCCCTCCAGTAGGAGGCAGCTCTGAACACTAAGCTGCAGACTTTTTTTTCCCAATGAAAGCTGAGAAGTCAGAGATGCACATTGTTAAGACATTCAGCTGCCACTTTCAAAAAAAGATGCCACCCGGCAGGCAGGAAATGGCCACCAAAGGGCTAGGGGAAATGACTGCTAGGTGGATGGAGAAAATCAAAAACCCCCCCCCCCCCCCCCCCCGACATGGCTGCCCTCTGAGCTTTACTATGATCTTTCCCAAAATTCACAGCAGAGCAGGTTTGGGAAAGCTCAGAAAAGAGCTGGAGAAAATCTTTGGAGGCGTATGAATTCACCACAGTGCTACTTGGAAACTGGGGGGAAAGTGCTTCCCAAAGCGCTGAACCCAGACCAAATAACCTGTTTGAAACAGCTATCAATACAAGATTGTCTAGCCCACCCTTGGTATCTGATTGACTAAACCAGACACCACTAGTGGTCAGTTCACAAAAGCAGCATCCTATGTCTATGTGACAGCAACTGAAGGGGCAAGTGGAACTATTACACCACCAGCTATAGCAGGGTCTTTACACCAGTGTGAAAAAAGACCCAATTGTATTGTCGCATTCATGCTAGAGCCCCTTCCAGAGGGAAGCAATATTGGCCTACTTTAGAAAGAAGAAATAGCTCTGGGCCTTCTGAGTAGGGTTGCCAACCCACCCGGTTTGCCAGGGGTCCCCCGTTTTGGGGAAAGCCCCGCCCCCAACACCCACAGCCACCCATCTCTCTCCCTTTAAGTGTGTGGAACCCGTGTTTCCTCCCAAGCCGGATCTCCGCAAGCTTGCAGGGAAATGCCAGCTTCTTAAAAGGGAAACGCGGCTGCTCTTAAAGGGGAAATGCCGGCTCCTGCATTTAAAAGGGAAACGCCGGCTCCTTTAAGTGCAAGGAACTGCCATTTCTGGAGAGCTGGCGCACGGGCGGATGGGGGCGGCGGACGTCCTCAACATGACGTCATCACGTCGGGGATGCCCTGCCCCCTCTAGGAACGCCCCCAAAGTCCCCCGCTAGGGGTGGAAGATGGACTTGGCAATCCTACTTCTGAGAAACCAATGATTTTATTACAGCATAAGGGCAAGATACTGGGAGAATATGCTCATCTCCTGATATACAGTGCAGCTGACCTTTAAGTCACCTTCCTTCAACAAAAAGTATTCCAAGGGATGATCCAGCATAAAGTCTGGAAATGTAATGGTAGTTAGTTCTGACTTGAGGACTGGAGCAGGGTTTCTTGTTGTAAATATCCTATTGTTAAAAGCCTTGCTTAGGTCTTGCAAACTGAGGGCCATGGCTTCCTTAGCATGCTAACTTAGCACAGGAAAAATTGTGCCTATGAGAATAGTTTTTACAACCTTAGAGAAACTTAATTTGTCACTGTAGACTGAGAAGGGAGAAAAACTGGAATATAGGTAACTGGACACCAAAGACTCGAACTATGTAAGCAACCATCTTAACTGGACCCCTCCTTCAAGATGGGAATGAAAAGATACGGAGAAGAAATCCAACAGGATATATTGCCTTCCTTTTTAGATTACAGTCACACAGTGGGCCCCAGAAGAGCACTAGAAGTCCAAGTTATTAAGCATGTCCATTGGAGAACATTCCAGATTACAGGGTTCACTGACCGCCTTTATTTGGTGGTCAGAGTACAGGATATTCCATTTCTTAAGCTAAACAGATCTGGACCCAGCTAGTACTGTGTTGGGAAACCTAGGTACTTCCTGAACTGTTGATGGGGCAAAACACAAACAACTGTTTTCAAAGGCCGTTTGAAACATCACAGTCCATACAACAGGGCCCCTTCAACATGACAGCCAAGGACTCTATGGTGCTCACTAACACCTTTCATGGTACCCACCAAGTGCTTTTAAAAAGCGGGGGGGCTGTGTAGGGCTTTTGGCCAGCAGAGCTTCTGAGTGGCCACTGAAGATCTCATTGCCTGTGCAGATTTATTTTTTAAATCACTTTGGCAGCAGCTGCCACCCCAACACAAGGATCTTCACTGCATCGCTGAAGGTGAGCTGTGTACAAACAAGAAACTGTTATGCAGAGCCTCTGCCTGAAATGCTGAAGAGTTGCTAACAATGTCAATCATATCCGCACTGGCGTTTTATGGTTGGATCCACCTCATGTGGCAGCCATTTTGTGGTTGCACCCATCGCCCTGTGTCAGAATCCCAAAGGTGCCCACAGGCTCAAAAGGGTTGGGGATCCCTGCCACAGAACATAATGGACATTCTTTATTTCAGGAAGCAAAGCTCCCCTGTTTCTGAGATTCTAATCAACATTTGAGAGAATAATAAAGAGGCTGCCACTACCATTTTACAAAAAAAAGAAAAAGAAAAGAAGGTAGTTTTAATATACAAGTTAATTTAAGAGCATTCTACAAAGAATGTGGGAGAACATTAAGAACCTTCCATAGGTATCTCTGTGTTGCCTGCTGCTGCCTTCTTGAGTGGGATAATGCAGATGCTATTCTTGGCCTCTTTGATCCTCCACCAACGACCCAATCTGTAAAGCAAACCCGAACAGAGATGTCACTCACCACAAACCTTTCTGGCCCATGACTCCCACTCACAGCAAGATGCTGTCACCATTGGAGATTAGAAAAACCAAAATAACAGTGGACTTGCAACAGACCATAACGCAAGGCACTGGGGAAACAAGGGCTAGACTGAGAAACCTTTGTTCAGTTAACGAAAGAGTCAAATAAGTATCTTCAAAACAGAAGGCTGTCTTCTGCTCTTCATGCACCATCCTCATGCTATATTCCTTGTTCTTCAGTATGTTCCCCTATCTCACTCCCCAACTGCCTAAAAAGCATCAGCAGCACAATTTCAAGGGCAGTGAGGTCCTTCTAAAGTCCACTGACATCATGGGTTTCAAAGGGTGTAACTCCGTTTAGAATTATACAGTCAAACAGGATTTAACGGCAGTTTTTTTCTGCTGTTATACAGCAAGCTTTCCCAGTGGTGTAAACAGACACTGCCCGTAATCACTTGCGTGCCAAATGTGGAATGATCTTCATGTAGCCCCCCCCCCAGGGGGGGGGAGTCTCTTACCAGAATTTATGGGCATATGCATGCTAAAAACATTTGACAGGAATTACTGTCAGGTGTTCCATCCTAAGGATCTTGAAAGATAACCCTAATACTGTCATGAAACCCAAGACTGTTTCAATTTAGGTTTAAAGTCGGTAGCATACGCGTATCGCATGCTGTCGCCTCTGGAAACCAAGTACAAGGGATGATCAAATAAAAAAGATGGCTGGAATACCTGTGTTCTTGTCCTATTCCAGCAACTAGAAAATTCCCAGTGTTTGAGAATTTCAAACTATTAACAAAGCCAACCTGAGAGAGAGGGGAAAAAGACCAAGTTAAGCAGTAGAAGCTGACCAGCAATTTAGCCACCAACAGATGATACCTCTGGAGTCCTTAGACAGCTGTGCACTTCCCCCTTTTTCACTCCTCAGCTGTATGAGTCACACAACAGCATGGTGTCAGCAGAACCAGCCACACCTTGCCTCCTATCCCAATTCAAAGTGTGCAAATGATTAGGGATGGGCATGGACCAGGAAAATGCAGTTCGGGGTTCAGGAGAACGCCGCCCCCTCCCCCCCAGCACTGTCATGCTAGAGACAACAGCCTCGCAAAGGATTAGAATTATACAGTCAAACAGGATTTAACAGCAGTTTTTTTTCCTGCTGTTATACAGTAAGCTTTCCCAGTGGTGTAAACAGGCACTGCCCGTAATCACTTGCATGCCAAATGTGGAATGATCTTCATGTAGCCCCCCCCCCAGGGGGGGGGAGTCTCTTACCAGAATTCATGGGCATATGCATGCTAAAAACATTTGACAGGAATTACTGTCAGGTGTTCCACTGGAGATCCCCTGTGAGGTTGGTGTCTCAGCAGCCATTCTGACAGGTGCAGGTTCAGGAGCATATAGTACGGATCCTGCGCAAGCGAGAGACACCAAACCCGTGCTTTTCTCACCAGGGGAATATCAAAAAGTGGTTCCAGCTTCCGAAATCCCTCTCCACACTTCCACAACTTCACACCGGTGTTGTGAGAACCTGATGAAGAAAAAGAATGTGAGGGCTTGGTTTCATATTAAGAACATAAGAACATAAGAGACGCCAATGTTGGATCAGGCCAAAGGCCCATCCAGTCCAACACTCTGTGTCACACAGTGGCCAGAAATACCAGTGCCATCAGGAGGTCCAGCAGTGGGGCCAGGACATTAGAAGCCCTCCCACTGTTGACCCCCCCAAGCACCAAGAAGACAGAGCATCACTTGCCCCAGAGCCCCTAGCTATACCTTGTGGCTAATAGCCACCCAGGAAAATGCAGTTCGGGGTTCAGGAGTGTATAGAATGCCCCACCACCACCACCAGCACTGGCATGCTAGAGACACAGCCTCTCCAAAATTAGTCATGAACTTTAGTTTGTGATCCGGTCCATGCCCATCCCTACAAATGATCCAACTGCCGGCTGGATTTATGTAGCATCTAAGACACACAGAAGTGCTTCATATATTCCAGATTTCTGCAACTCTTTGATCAAAATTAAGCCCTTACCTCGACTGAAACTTTACTTACACTCAAACTTCATCTTATCCTCTGTTCCCCTTATGCATTTTAAGCTATCATTTCTTTCCTCAGGACAGCCAAGCTACTAGTGTTCTAGATTTTTCTAGAGCTGCAACCATGGCTACTGTCTTAGTATCTGTCTCACATTTGAAATTCTGATCAGTCAGCTCTACTCCTGAGGCATCTGGATAAGGACAATTAAGGCACAAGCTTTTCACTAATGTAAAGAGGTGCCATTTTTATTGTACAGATTAAAAATTCTGAGATTTTGGAAATTTTACCAGAAGACTGGAATAGTACAGGGTACAATGACCCATGTTTCCAATATCTCTAAAAACTTATTAGATTCTATATTGTGGCTTACTTAACATGATAATCGGGTTTTTGGGAACTGTTTTGGGGAAAATGCAGCCGCACAAAAACAAGCATTTATAAAGTATTTTACAGTTGATGGGGCTTGGGAAACCCAGGTTTGAATCCCCACTCTGCTTGGGATGCTTGCTGGATGATCTTGGGCCAGTCACGCATACTCTCAGCCTAACCTACCTCACTGGGTTGTGCTGTGAGGATAAAACAGTAGAGAGGAGACTAATGTAAGCTGTTTAGGGTCCCCACTGAGGGGAAAAGTGAGGTATAAGTGAAGTAAATAAATAATTACTAAAATTCTTAGAGCAGCCCAGTAAGGTATTCTGGAACCATTATTTCCATATTGCAAATGGACAGCCGACAGAGCTCAAGGATAAAGTGAGACCAGAATGAGAAGATTTCTTGGCTCAGACACAATCTGACACCACTGTTATTAGCCTTGCACAATTAATCATTTTAGACCTTCAGCGTGGAACTCTATCTATGAAAAAGACATGTTTTCACAAGTAGCCAATCTCCACCCACGGGCTTACTTAACATGATAATCGGGTTTTTTGGACTGTTTTGGGGAAAATGCAGCAGCACAAACACAAGCATTTATAAAGTATTTTACAGCAGTGAAAGTGTTGATGGGCCCTGGGAAACCCGGGTTTGAATCCCCACTCTGCCTGGGATGCTTGCTGGATGATCTTGGGCCAGTCATGCATACTCTCAGCCTAACCTACCTCACTGGGTTGTGCTGTGAGGATAAAACAGAAGAGAGGAGACTAATTCTGGAGCCAAAGGGATTAGAGAAAGGAAGCTTTCTTCCTAGGTGAGCTGAGTTATTAGTTCTAGGATGCAAAGTTAACCTGTAATCTGTCATCCAGCTCACTTGAGTCAATAAAAAGTTTATTACTAGAATCAGCCCCACCCTGGTTTGGCATATCTTGTTTATTCCTGTGCTCTGCTTTGACACATCTTGGACAGGTATAATATGTAATACAGGGCTTTTGGATGACACCTCCACATTAGATCACTCCCAGTCCGGCTTCCGACCAGGCCATGGGATGGAAACGCCACTGGTTGCCCTCACGGATGACCTTCAGAGGCATCTGGAGTGAGACCAGAATGAGAAGATTTCTTGGCTCAGTCACAATCTGACACCATTGTTATTAGCCTTGCACAATTAATGGTTTTAGACCTTCAGTGTGGAACTCTATCTATGAAAAAGACATATTTTCACAAGTAGCCAATCTCCACCCATGATGCTGCCAATGCCCGCCATCATTACTTGATTCGCGCTAGCACTTTATGTACTGTTTTTAGATCTATACTTATTATGATTTTATTTAATTACCTGTTTTATCTTTGTCATCATACCATGTAAGCTGCCCTGAGCCTGCTCCGGGGAGTGCGGGATATAAATTAAATAAATAAATATGGGCAAGTCTGTCAGCTGTTGCCTATAACGGGAACTTCAAACCAGAATCTGGGTCCTAATAAATAGTTATCGGTTACACAGATTAAAAAACCCTTTCCATAAATGCAGCAATGTTTGCTATTTAGGATCAGGCCAAAGGCCCATCCAGTCCAACACTCTGTGTCACACAGTGGCCAGAAATACCAGTGCCATCAGGAGGTCCAGCAGTGGGGCCAGGACATTAGAAGCCCTCCCACTGTTGACCCCCCCCCCAAGCACCAAGAAGACAGAGCATCACTTGCCCCAGAGCCCCTAGCTATACCTTGTGGCTAATAGCCACTGATGGACCTCTGCTCCATATGCTTATCTAATTCCCTTTTGAAGCCGTCCATGCTTGTAGCCGCCACCACTTCCTGTGGCAGTGAATTCCATGTGTTAATCACTCTTTGGGTGAAGAAGTACTTCCTTTTATCCGTTCTAACCCGACCGCTCTGCAGTTTCATGGAGTGCCCACGAGTTCTTGTATTGTGAGAAAGGGAGAAAAGTACCTCTTTCTTTACCTGCTCTTTCCCATGCATAATCTTATAAACCTCGATCATGTCACCCCTCAGTCGTCTTTTCTCCAAGCTAAAGAGCCCTAAGCGCTTTAACCTTTCCTCATAGGGAAAGTGTTCCAACCCTTTTATCATTCGAGTTGCCCTTTTCTGCACTTTTTCCAAAGCTATAATATCCTTTTTAAGGTGTGGTGCCCAGAACTGCACACAGTATTCCAAATGAGGTCTCACCATTGATTTATATAGGGGCATTATTATATTGGCTGATCTGTTTTCAATACCCTTCCTAATAATCCCCAGCATAGCATTGGCCTTCTTTATTGCAGTCACACACTGTCTCGACATTTTCAGTGAGTTATCTACTACAACTCCAAGATCTCTCTCTTGATCTGTCTCTGCCAGTTCAGACCCCATCAATGTGTATTTATATTTAGGATTTTTGGCTCCAATGTGCATCACCTTGCACTTGGTCACATTGAACCCCATTTGCCATGTTGACGCCCACTTGCCCATCTTTGACAGATCCCTTTGGAGTGCCTCACAATCCTCACTGGTTTTCACCACCCTGAACAACTTTGTATCATCCGCAAATTTAGCCACTTCACTGCTTACTCCCATCTCCAAATCATTAATGAACAAGTTAAAAAGCAGTGGACCAAGTACTGATCCCTGCGGTACCCCACTGCTTACCACCATTCTGGAGCCAAAGGGATTAGAGAAAGGAAGCTTTCTTCCTAGGTGAGCTGAGTTATTAGTTCTAGGATGCAAAGTTAACCTGTAATCTGTCATCCAGCTCACTTGAGTCAATAAAAAGTTTATTACTAGAATCAGCCCCACCCTGGTTTGGCATATCTTGTTTATTCCTGTGCTCTGCTTTGACACATCTTGGACAGGTATAATATGTAATACAGGGGTTTTGGATGACACCTCCACATTAGATCACTCCCAGTCCGGCTTCCGACCAGGCCATGGGATGGAAACGCCACTGGTTGCCCTCACGGATGACCTTCAGAGGCATCTGGAGTGGGGCAGTTCGGTGGTGTTGCTGCTGTTAGACCTGTTGGCGGTGTTCGACACAGTTGACCATCAACTACTGATCCACTGCCTCGCCGACACTGGGATTCGGGTCCGCCTTGAATAGCCTGTGCTCTGCTGATATGACCCAGACTGTCAGCAGACTGTTGGATGCTGCCAATGCCCGCCATCATTACTTGATTCGTGCTAGCACTTTATGTACTGTTTTTAGATCTATACTTATTATGATTTTATTTAATTAGCTGTTTTATCTTTGTCATCATACTATGTAAGCTACCCTGAGCCTGCTCCAGCGGGGAGTGCGGGATATAAATTAATTAAATAAATAAATATGGGCAAGTCTGTCAGCTGTTGCCTATAACGGGAACTTCAAACCAGAATCTGGGTCCTAATAAATAGTTATCAGTTGGTTACACAGATTAATAAATGCAGCAATGTTTGCTATTTAGTTTAGCAAGCATTGCCCACAGTCTTCAGGATTTAAAAACTATGGTTTTTCCACAACAGCCAGTTGCATCCTCTGACATTGAAATCCACAATATCAGAACAGCTGGTAAGCGGTAGCCCAAAAGGTGAGGGACTTGAATAGCTAATTCATTTATAAGTGTAACAAAGCCCACTACCCATCAGAAGCCAAGGTAGCCCAAAAGGTGAGGGACTTGAATAACTAATTCATTTATAAGTGTAACATCAGAAGCCCAACACAGCTAATTGGTGTGATAAAAGTAAGAGCATGAGGAAAATCATGCAGATCCTTCAGAGAATATTTGCATCTTGACAAGAATCTTGAAAATAAAATCACAGATATTACGTTGGATCCAGACTCAATTTTCCATTACCTGAATGGAACTTTCCTTGCACCCCCTTCCTACTGCAGCCCATTAATCTCCATGAAATTCTGCTCTGGTTGAATAAGGGAACCCTGAGGAACAATGGGGGGGGGGTGCAGCATGAAAGGGGAACTGGAGGAAATTGCCCATTCCCTTTCGATAGTGGAAAGCTTAGTCCAAGTCCAAGTCCAACCCACTAACTTGTCTCTAAGTCAGGACCTCTTAGGTCAGCATTACCTCACAGACAAACCAGTGCAGAAAACAGTCCATTACGCATCCGTTTTACGCAACCATGTGTCCCACAAGGAGAGAATCATACCTGTCTAGTTTCCATGACGTGCCTTAAAATAAAGGCCATTCTACCTTTCTCTAGCCCCCAAAAGAAAAAGGACAAGAATCTCACAGTATGACGCACCTGTGGCTACAATGTCACTGTTCAGCAAGGCAGCAACAGAGGTGATCCAATATGGCTGTTCCAGGCCTTGTGCACCTTGGAAACCATGGGCCCGCTTCACTGTAGTTAGTGGTTTCTTTTTTGAGAGACCCCAGAGGGCGACTGACCTTTAGGAAAAGAAACAGGTGGTTACATCACATAGAAGAGCCACTGTACAAAATGACATTGATGTGTCAAGGTCATTATTTCAGGTGCTACTCACCCATCATCTGCCCCAGACACCATATGCTCCTCGTTGATCAGCTGGATGCAGTCAATGGAACCCCTAATACAAAAGAGGAGACCAACGTTCTATGTACTTGTTTTCAAAAGAAGCAACCTGAAGAATTTGGTAGCCAGCAGAAGATACTGTATACTCCATTGCCAAAACTTGCAAAGTTAGGTAAATAACTTTCACCCAGTTTCAGAGGGTAGCTGCGCTGGAAAAGCTAGATACGAGTCCAACCGCACCTTAGAAACCAACAAGATTTTTTGGAGTATGAGCTGCAACACCAGATATCTGATGGACTCTGATCTCAAAGCACTTCCTCTACTCCCAGGGGCTTCGACAACAAATTAAGGGAGTTCCGGTTCCAGCAGCTCCCCAGGCAGACACACCGTGGCGTTGCTCCTGCCCCTTTTTGGTGAATACAAGAGAAGTTTTTACTTTGAACTTTAAACTTAGATAAGATATTGCTGCTTTGAAACTCTGAAGCCTGTAGTATTTACAAGATATCTGATGAAGGGAGCTTTGACTCTCAAGAGCTCATATCCTGAAGATCTTGTTGGTCTCTAAAGTGCTACTGGATTCGAATCTAGCTTTAACCTAGTGTAGGACAATAGACATACATCTCAGAACCATTCTTGCTGAAACAAGAGACTTCCTTACAATTCTTATGTGAATAATCACGAAAGTAGAAGTTTCACTGGTCATCTTGATGGGGAAATCTTCCCATGAAGAAGTCCAAACATATTAAGTGTCCTCCTCACTGAGGCTCAGGCTAAGGACTATTTTGAACCTCAGGTGGATAAAGATCACTACTCAGTCCAATCACTAGACTGTGGATAAAGATCACTACTCAGTCCAATCACTAGACTGTGGATAAAGATCACTACTCAGTCCAATCACTAGACTGTGGATAAAGATCACTACTCCTGCATCTAGGATTGTTGCCACAGGACAGGATTAGAAGAGGTGCAAGTTCAGAGGATGAGTTCGAAAGAGAAGTCAACAATTAAATGATGTCGCCTCCTGTTCCAACACAGTTAGTCTCCAAGAGCCAACAGCAACACAGTTAGTCTCCAAGAGCCAACTTGCAAATGATGGCAGGACCGCAGTTAAAAGTGTCGTAGCTTGTGCTGAAAGCACAGGATCTCCCTTCCCACTCCGTATAGTCTATCTAAAGTAATTCCTACCCACTCTAATACTTACTGGTGCCCATAGAATACAAGCTGGGATTCCTCAGGAATCTTCCAGACTCTGACAGTGCCATCCCTCCCCCCTGATGTGACACAGCACTCCCGGCTCAGGCTGTCCAGTCCTGTAATCACATCCTGATGGCCAAACCTGAAGAGAAAGAGAGCAGAGGAGATTCCATTATGAACTATGCACACTTATCTGGTGCAGACAATTACAGCTGAGGATATCAATTGTCTTTACAGGCAGCCAGGCAGATTCTTTGCTTCCCTGCTTCCCACTCAGTCTTTACATCTCACGAAACAAATGTCACACTATAAAGCCACAGCCATTAGGAATGGGGTTCCAGTGCAAGTACTTTATACAGCTATGCACAGCTGCGACAGTCAAAAAAACTCAGTTTGGCAGCTGCTGACCAACTATTCAAGCAGCACAGCAGCCATAAAGAAGAACAACACAGATCATGGAGGCCCACCTACCACATCCCCACAAGCAGTCTAATGAATACACACAGAATGCATGCAACTTACAAGGTTTCCACGTAGGCATTCTCTGCCGCGTTCCACACTTTGATCGATCGATCATGGGAAGCACTGTACAACTGGTGTGTGCCTTTTCGGAAAGACAGGCCCTGCACAAAGGAAGAGATCTGGGTAAGAAGGAGACTGTGGAATGAATAATCCTCAGAGGAAGGGGCGGAACTGCTTTACGAAACTTGCTTTTTATGCATTTTTTATTTCTGCCTCCAAGGCTATTACCATATTTGATTCCTACTACCACTCCATTTGTCAGTTCTGGTAAGGATACTTTACTTTGTTTTTAGGCACCAGGCCAAAACACACCTTTCCCCCCCAGGCTGTTAATTAGGGGGTTTATCTTACCAGTTTTTAATGGTCTGTCTCTAATTTTAGGGATAATGATCCTTCTTCCTTCTAAAGAAACAGTACATTTAATACTCATAGAAAATTCATCTGTAAGCATAGACATCCAGTGAATATCAAAAGGATTTTCCAAATATATACACATTTTTTAAAAAAACATATCAATATAACTATAGAAAGGAAATAATCAACATCCAATACCAACATCAATCTCCTGCATAAGTCCTCTCCCTTTACACTGATATGGTTTTGTAAAAATCTTCTGTATATATTTTGATATTCACTGGGTGTCTTGATATATTTACAGATTAATTTTCTATGAGTATTAAATGTACTGTTTCTTTAGAAGGAAGAAGGATCATTAGTGATTTGATCATGGTTTTTGCTTTTGGACTTTCTGTCTTCCATGCTTTTCACTGCTTTTCTAATCTAATTTTATGGATAGCTTTTATGCTGTCCAGTGGCTGGTTTTTTAATGGTTTGTTTTTAATATAGTAACACTGTTTTAATTGTAAGCTGCCTTGAGCAGGATGCTGAAGAGATGGCATAGAAACATCCTAAACAAACAAACAAATGCATCCTCAGGAAAAGGACCTCAGAAACAAACAGACCTGCATAGATGTAACAAATATCCATTTCCTATATTTTAATCTGGCCTTCCAGGATAGAATGAGGCAACTCACACCAAAAATAGTTTTAAAAATCCATATGAACTATCAGATCAATACAGCTGGCAATAACACTGACTTTATTAGCCAGAGTGCAGTCCTGTGAAGATCCAATTGCAGCTGGCTGACTGAGGAAACCAGGTTATTTCTACAAAGTCTGCCCCCAGGTTTATGTGAAATTGTTTGTATAATGCTTCCTTCATATCAGGAACAGCTTTAAATGGTCTTATAAAAAAAAGTTGCTGTCGAATCCTGAGTGCACCTGATCTACAATATAACTCTTTTTGCCAGGCTCCATTCACTCACCGACACAGCATCACGATGACCTGTGAACTTATACAGGTGCTGGCAGGTTGCAGCTTCCCAGATCATAATGAGTTTGTTCTTATCTCCGGTAGCCTAGTCAAGACAGACAAGGGAAGACACTTGTGTCAAGTACCCTCAACAGCAACAGCTGCTGCTACAAGTAATAAGGAGACTCAATCAAGGACCATTCATGCACTGGCTCTCCTTGTCATCAGTCAGTGCCTTCAGATCAAGAGACTGTTGACACCCAGCTGTGCTGCAAACCAGGGTGGCAACAGCAGCTCTGCTTTGTGTTTTGTTAGTAGTATGTGGGGGAATGTCTTGTTTCTCAGAATGGGAGATGGGTAGGTTCCCTTACCAGGTATTTACCATCCGAGGAGATAGCCATGGACAAGATGTGTGCTGTATGGCCATGACTTTCCTCTGTCACCTTCTTCCCTCCACGGATCACATGCAGCTTCTTCCCACTCTCCACATCCCCTAAGAGATACAAGGTTCTATTTAACTCTTAGCAGGACAAAGCCCAGAATCACACATGTTTTAAACACTACTTGGGAATCTTTCCTTGCTCCATCAACCTAGTGCTCTGCAAACCAGAGTTGCTCCACTAGAACCTATGGCTAGGGAGTCCAGTCACTCTCCCCTAACCTGATCTATCCCCTAGGGTGCTGTGGGGATAAAAGGGGGTGGGGAGGAGAACTATGTATGCCACTCCTGATTTCCTTGGAGGGAGTGTGTGGGGAAATAAAAATGAAGAGAGATGGGGAGTCACAGATGTAGTCCTTCTTCTAGCAGTGATCAAATAGCAACTTCCATACTGGGATGAAAGCTTAAACAGGGGTCCCCAAACTTTTTGAGCCCACAGGTACCATTCAGAATTCTGTCAGGACGCAGCAACAAAATGGCCACCGCAGGAGGTGAAGCCAGTCACAAAATGGTTGCCACAGCTTATCTTCAGCAACGCCGTGTAGATCCCTGCACATCCAATCAAATCTCCAACAGCCAATGAGAAGCCTTGCTTGGCAAAAGGCCTAACTGGACTCACCTAATTTGTAGAAACACTTGGTGGGCACCAGAAAAAGTATAAGTGGGTGATATGGTGCCCATGGGCACCATACTGGGGATCCCTGGCTTAAAATCTAAAAAGCACATGGCCCAAAGTCTACATCTCTGTAGGGGAAAAAAATAATATGTGGAGACAAAAAAATGCCCTTCAGACATAACACGCCTGCCCATAGGTGACATAAAAACTTCAAAAGAGTTAAAATGCATTTCAAATCCACCTTCTTTGCATTAACAGAGATGCAATACAAAAAAACTTTATTTCTACTTCTCACAAACGTACACTATAAGAAGGAAGGCTGAAAAAACACTTTCGAGTGGCATGTCTAAAGTGACTCTACTGACTTTTTAAACCCAAATGGATTACACAGAATTGACTCTGGGGGGTGGGGGGGAGGACACATTTCAACTATAAATCACCAGCATCCTCAGTTCACCCTATTTTAATGTATTTATTACCTGGCATATCCCGTCCTACTGATTATCTCTCCATAATGCATACTAATGGATTTTATTATTTTTTCTTTCAGGTGGCCTACTCAAGCAGAAGGAAAAGCGGTCAGATGATAAGGGCTTTATTTTAGCACAGTGCTTGGCATTCTGTTCTTGCAGCTGTGATGCTCAACGGAATGCACACAGTTCCTGGAAGCAGCATTCACCTAGGGCCTTGAACGCACTCACCCCTGAGAACTCCATCTATACCCCCTTCCTGTGCCAACTCCATAACAACATCCTGTACCCACTGTGCTAACTCCATAACAACATCCACTGAACACCTACACTTTACAAAAGTTACCTGAGCTGAACCTAATCTGAAAACTTCCCACTAATGTAGCTCTGGGTTCATCATCATTATAGAATTTGGCATATACAATTCAGAGAATCTCAGACATGATTAGAGGAGTCTCCACAAGTGTTCAGAAGTCAGCTTCAGAAAGACTCCTTTCAACCCAAAGCATGGACTCAAGTCAAGCTATAAATTCCTTAACCCAAAAGGGTAAGCAGGATCTTAATGGAAGGATTAGTTTGGCCATGAACAAATCATACCATATGCATGATAGGAACCATTCATTTTCAGAGCACACGCTTTGCATGTATAAAAGGTTTTAAGATCAAACTTCTTGCAACTCCAATTAAAGGCACAGCTAAGACAGACCTCTGTTGGAAACTCTGAAACGCAACCACCTGCCAGAACACTGTAGAAGTCCATGACCCAGGGGCTAGATCAATACAAAGTAGTGCCTTTCATTGAGCCTTACAAACCTCAGACATCCAAGAGCTGAACATCCCTCAGCAGAATAAAAGATACAGCAGGACAGGTACATAGCTTTAAGCCTTATGAGAAAAAAGTGGCTTTCAGGCGCAGTTACTCTATTCAAGAAATCTTACAGGGCAATCCTATGCAGCATTGCTCCAGTCAAAATCCATTGAAATAAATTTTATTATTATTTAATAAAAATAATAAATGAGCTTAGGTTGCAGGAACTCTGCATAAGATTGCATTGTCAGGCTAGCAATCTCATTGAGATGCAAGGCAGATTACACAACGCAAGTCAAATACAATCAACAGGATGGGACAGCCAATAAACAAAGCAATAAGGTATGGACAGCAGAAATCTGAAAACGAGAAGTCTGAAGGTGGAGCTGAAGCACAGCTTAAATATTAACATGACAGGTTAAGCAATGCAGAAATTTACACAGTAGGATCATATGTACAACAACAGACAGTATGCACTATATATAGCTGTTTAGTCCACAGACCCTGTATCGTTACCAAAGCACCTTTATACTACAGACCCTAATCACCTGCTTAAAAAGGCCACCCTGAATAATTCAGTTTTGCACAGTCTGTGGAAAGCTAGGAGAGTGGGAGTCTTCCTGATCTTCTCAGGCAGACCATTCCACAAGGTGGGGGCCACAACAGAGAATGCAGATGTCTGGGCAGTTGTTGATTTTGCCCCTTTTCAGGGTGGCACCTGCAGAAGGCCTTGCTCAGATGAGCAAAGCTGCTGTGGTGGAGCATAGGAAGAAAGATCCCAAAGATATGAGGAGCCAAAGTTTTATAAATTGACAGATTCATTCATTAAATTTGCATATGGAAAACACACTGCTACTGAAGACGTATATGCACAAAGTGGTTTTAGAAGACAGTGCTTTGTGCAACAGAAATGTGTATCTTAGAAGAAGCACTGGTCCTTCCCTCACACACATGATAAGCACCTACCAACCACACTTTTTGCAAGTCTCTGCATTACGTTAAATAACACAACTGTTGTCTGGTTAGTCACCACTTTTTTAGTCTAACAAAGTAGATCAATCTAACTATGTTTCAACAGATTGATCCAGTCAGGCAACTCACATGGTAATCCTAGATAGAATTACTCCAGTTTAAGCCCAGTGAAGTCAAGACTTATACTGCAGCAGCTCTGCAAAGGACTGCAGTCAGTGTTCCCTCTAAGCTGAGTTAGTGTGAGCTAGCTCACAGTTTTTCAGCCTCCGGCTCACACATTTTTTGTCTTAGCTCAAAAAGGATGGCTCCAGAGCAAGCTAATTTGTGCAGTAGCCAAATTGCTCACTCACAACTTTAATGCCAGTAGCTCACAAAGTAGAATTTTTGCTCCCAAGACCCCACAGCTTAGAGGGAACATTGATTGCAGTACACAATACTTCAGCCCTATTTCAGCATCAGGTGGCTTGTAGTGATGCAGGCCACTCTGCAGCTAAACTATTTGTCAGAATAATTTGTTAATTCTTAGAAGAACAAACAGAATTTCCAGGGCTGAGAATACAAAAGCTGGGGGAGGGGGGGAATAGTACTGAAAATGTGTAAAGGCAGATATAGTGGAAGGAGACTGTGGCAAAGTCAGGCTATATTTTGTTGATGTTACTAGGAGGAGGAAGAAGAAGAAGAGATTGGATTTATACCCCGCCCTTCACTACCCAAAGGCGTCTCAGAGCGGCTTACAAACTCCTTTCCCTTCCCCTCCCCACAAAAGACACCCTGTGAGGTAGGCGGGGCTGAGAGAGCTCTGACCGAAACTGCTCTTTTTCAAGAACAGCTCTTATCAGAACTACAGCTTGCCCAAGGTCATTCAGCCAGGTGCAAGTGGAGGAGTGGGGAATCAAACCCAATTCTCCCAGATTAGAATCCGCGCACTCAACCACTATACTGGAGTCCCTTCACTTCCCCAAGATGCACAAAGAGGAAGTGGTATTTCAGCATCTGATACCATTTTGATTAACTGAGCTTTCCACTCCACTCCTAAGGGTATGTCCTACAGAACACACAGTGGTGCTTTCTCTTTCCTGCCTCCTCTTCCACACCCTGCCAATAATATCCTCCTTAGACGGAAACGTTCTCCTTTTATAGAAAGCAAGACTCACACTTGATGATGGAGCAGTCTTTGGAAGCAGAAAATACATATTTATCGTCTGGTGATATGACTAGACAAGTGATGGGCAGCCGATGTCCTCGCAGAACCCGGATGTCAGCTACGTCTGGAAGCTGCAACTGTTCAGAGAACCAGTTAAATCACTGCTCAGGCCCAAACATCAGTTGTAATTCTGCAATAACAGCTTGCCATGTTCAGAGCAGAGACAAATATTTGGATCACCAACCTTCTGGTAAAAGTGGCTATCGTGGAGGCACAGCATCCTAGCTAACAATGTTGCAATCAGCTCAGTAAAACAGTAATCGTACAGCTATAACACAACTATTAAGTCCCCCATCTGGAAAATATCACCCACCTCATAACATACAAGGCTGATTTAATTATTTAAGTTTTAAATGTGTTTTTCTTTAAGTGTCTGGTAAGTTTAAGAGAAAGGGGGGGTGAAAGAGGGAGGTGAGTGAGGTGATTGGCTGGTGACTGAGAGTGTATGGGAGGAGCCAAGAAGAAGAAAAAACTGGTAGAGAGAGAATAAGCAGTTAACAGTCAGCAGTTACTGGTCAACAGAAAAACAGGCAGCAGAGTCTGAGAGAGCAGTCTTCTGATAAGAATCCAACAGAGTGCTGTGAAAAGCATTAGGATTCTAGGGAAGAAAGTACATATTAGGGACTAAAGAGAGTCCTCATATTGTCAAAGTATTATGAGAGTGTGAGAGAAAGCAGCTGACAGAAGCCCAAGTTAAAAGAAAGAGAAAGATTTAACTGAGCAAAATATATAAAAGTTAAGGAGAAGGTACATTCTGAAAAGAAAGGAGGATTTAATAGAGAGGAGTGATTGTGAAGAGAAAGAGCATAACAACCTCACCAGAGGTTATTAACATTCACCGTTTTATTTACTGAAGAGATAAGTTGCTAAACATCCTGAAACCAATACACTTTTTGTACAAGTAACGCTTATTTTCGTTTTAGCTAAACCTGAAGTCATATGCAGTTAAAATACAAGGGTCTCATCCTGAGGACCGCATAGTCCAACGAAGGGGCCTTAGATCTTGGGCACAATACTGTGGGAAAGGTTGAATCATAAAATTGCAAGATAGCCACAGAAAGTGCCCAAACATGCTGCTTTGTGACAGGAATGGATTAAAGACGTTATTGGGCAGACTCAAGGATGTGCATGGTCTGAAAGAGATGGTTCTTCAGAATTGTGGCCCCAGCTTGTGAAGGGCTGAGGGATAATAAGCAGCGCCTTGTACTGAACTTAGAAACAAACTGAAAGCCAGATCAGTGCAAATGGTTCCACTTTGGTGCTATATGCATAAAACTGCCTGCTCCAGTGATTCTGCAAGATGAGTCACACCAACTCACCCCTGGGGGTCAATAACAAATTATTCAAACACCACCAGAAATCATGCATTGTTCTGTGTTGAGACCTTTAGCTTTCTGTGCAGTATGGTATAACTCAAAAGACAGATACTTTCTACTGCCTCCCTGTGATGAATGGTTTCAGGTTCAGCCCTCCAGAAGCCTCAGCCAATCAATTTCGAACAGTGGACTGGAATGTTGAGGGGGGGGGGAGAGATTGGCAGTTTAACCCTCCCCTTCCCCCCCCCGAAAATCTGAATGCTAAATATGCCATCTGTTTAAATGTTTTAATACTGAATTTTTGTAGTTTTAACTGGTTTTAAAATCGTATTAGATTTTATGTTGTTGTAAACCGCCCTGAGTGGGGACGGGCGGTTAAGAAATCAAATGAAATAAATAAATAAATAACTGCTGGCCAGCTGACAGAGTTGAGGGTTGTTGGATTTTGGTGGGACATGGGCTAGGTTAGGAGGTCTGCAGATTAGCCAGTGAGTCCATTAGGGCCTTTAAGGTATTTTGAAGATAGTTAGGGATGCGGTGCTGTTCCTGTCAAAAACAGATAAAAGCCTTTCTGTTCCATGCTATAAATCTGAATTAGTCAAGCAAGAAACCTGCTTTCTAACCGCTGTGCTTCCTCAGGCTCCAGCTCTCCAGTAATGTTACTGTAACAGAGGGTTAGAGAAAAGGAAGACAAAGAAACAACCTAGCCATGCATACTACTGAAATAAACCTGTTTCTTAGTTGTTTTCATCAAGCCTACTGGGTGATCCCTTCAAGCCAATAATCCTCTCGTACCTGGCCAAGTGAACACTGGGTGGCACCCTGACTCCAGGCATTGCCTACGTGGTCCCAAAAATAAGCAAGTAAAGCAGACACACAAAAAGAAGCATGTAGGGTATGAAATTTAAGTGTCTAGTTACTAGGTCAGGAGATGGAGCGTTGTCAACAATAACAGTGACATGACTTTTCCCGTACTACAACAGATTACAAAGACCAGGCCAGAAATTTCAAAATGGAACATCTAACCAACCAAATATACAAATTCTTGGAAACATAAGCATTTAGACTGGGTTACTACATAGAAAGGCCACCACATCTTTTCCATATGACCAGCTCAAAACAATGCTGAATTCATCTGCGCATGGAACGGGGTTACTGAGGATGTGGCGGGGGGGAGGATTTGTGAATTTCCTGCATTGTGCAGGGGGCTGGAGTAGATGACCCTGGAGGTCCCTTCCAACTCTATGATTCTAAGAAAGGAGAACAATTTAAAAACAGAGGATAAGAAAAACAAGTTGAAGAAGACTCAAGCAGAAGGGGAACCTTGATAGAGAAAATTGCCTTCTGCTTCAAGAAACAGCAGTTAACTGCTCCCAAGTTCTGCAGGGAAGTGATTTCTACTTACGCTTTTGGCAATCTGTCGCTGTAATTTCCCTTTCTGTTCAAGCTGCAGGAGAAAGAGGAAACAAAAATCAGAGTGATCACTGCAATACTCTTCTCCCCCCTGTCCCCTCAAGCACCCTAGGAATAAGCAAAGATGAACAAGGTACGAGGAGAAAATACATGCACAGGACTCAACATTTTATATACTGATAAGAGCTATCAAAATCCTCCCTGACTGCTGCAAAACAAAACAGCCATAAGTTGCTAGACCCCATGACTGTGAAGACAAGTTTTTTGCAAAGGTGCAAAGAAGTAAGGCGGCCAGTGAACCCCATAGCTCGATATTGAATGTACAGAACTTCAGAATACCTAAAACTCTGAAGAACTGACATGATTTTGCATATTAATATTAGCATTGAAAATTCAAAGGCTAATCCTCCTTAGAAGCCTAGAACTGTTTCCTTGAAATGCCATGCAGCAGAAGAGATTGTGCAAATTACCACACCAACTGAGGAATATGCTGTGATCCAACAGCTCCCTTGGTTCCAGTCTCACCTTTTACACACTCATTCAGTAACCTTAGACAAGTCATTTTTTCCATCTGAGGCTCTGACCTTAGCCCTGCATCTGCAATTCATCTTTTTCTTTGGGTAAAATGAGAATATGGGTCCTTTGCTTGCTGATGCCCCCATCCATGAGCAAGAGAGGCCCAGAGCAGCTCTTCTGCAAACCCTCCCCAGGTATCCCACTCACCACATCTTCCTTCAGTCGGCCAGCAATCAGGTCCCTTTCCAAGGCCTCTTCTTCTGCCTTCTCCTCTTCTGCCCAAGTAAAAAAAATCCAAACTGTACATGAGGGACACAGCTCAGAAAGAGATCAAAATTAACAATGGGTTGGAGAGGCGGGGGCATTCATGGATGCATAAACGGAGCCTCTGCTGCTCACATAGCAGACAACAACACACACACCCCCGAAACTAAGATACTCTGGCACAGACATTAGCCAACACACTAGTAGCCAGTTTACACACATCAAAACTATGGTTGCCATTTGAAGCCACTGTGCATAGCAGTTCCCTGCCCATAACCACATTAGAACATGCACTAGTTCAGTGCACAAAACAATGCTGCTTTCATAGAATTCTTTCTGTAAAATTCTTCCAAAGTCCCTTTTAAGGTTTATTATAACATTCAGGAAACTTTCGTAAGAACCAATCCTTAGCACCTGTTCCCTTCTGCAGTACAAAGCATAAGCATTCTTGAAAAATATTTTTCTATCCATATACCTAAGCGTCGAGCATTTGAAACCAGTGTAAAGTACAGCTTGTCAGTACAGTGCATGCTCTGCGTGCACAAAATGCCAGATTCAATCTGTGATATCTTCAGCCAAAAAGATAGGCTGAAAGAGATCTGTATCTAAGACTCTGGAGAATCAGTACCAGTCAATGCTGACGATACTGACCTATATGTAGTGGTGGTCTAACTTGGTTCAAGCCCATGTCCATATATGATTGTTCATGTTTAAGTGTCTGACTTCCAGCCAATTAGAGGGCTAAAAAAAACTTAATTGCCTGAAAGCCATAATACATTAAGCTGAAGGTCATCCTTCACCTTGCTGTCGAAGCTGCTCTAGGTATAATTTTGCTAATCTCAACTTCTTCTCTTGTGGTGTCTCGTCAATCTCCTCTTCTGCTTCATTGTTCTTTTTCTTTGCAGGGCTGTGAGAAGAGGGCACAAAGAAAAAGACAATAATCTACATGGACACATCTCTCACACACACCCCTTTGATAGCCATCCATCAACAACTCAGAACATTAAACAAAATGTATTTAGAATGAAAGAACCCTAAAAATACACCCTCACCCTTAAACTTAATAGGGGCTTAGGTAAAGGTTCCCTTGCTCGAAAGCCAGTCAAATCCGACTCTAGGGTTGCGGTGCTCATCTCCGTTTCAAAGCCGAAGAGCCAGAGCTGTCCGAAGACGTTTCCATGGTCATGTAGCCCGCATGACTAAACACCAACACAGTTACCTTCCCACTGAAGTGGTACCTATTTCTCTACTTGCAATTTCTTGCTTTCGAACTGCTAGGTTGGCAGGAGCTGGAACTAGAGACGGGAGCTCACTCCGTCATGTGGCACACTCGGGTCTCGAACTGCTGAACTACCGACCTTCCACAGCCTGCAGTTAAGCATCTTAACCACTTCAGCCACCACAGCTCCTCACAATAGGGGCTTACAACAACAGAAGTCAAATATTTTTTTCTCTGTTATATAACAGATAAGAGCTAATAGGGGCTTACAACAACATAAATCAAGTATTTTCTGTTATATAACAGATAAGAGCTAATGGAGCACTCATCCTTGCTAAACAAAAATATTTCCATTTCAAGACTACTGGAACAGCAAGAGAGTCTCAGTTGCTGCTTTGAAACACCAGGGAGGGGATCTCTACATGCTGTTATGGCAACCCGAAGTGGCCTACGTACATACACAGAATGTGCAGATGTCAAGAATTGATTGATTGTAATATTATTGACCTTTATATATATATCCCAAGAGGAAAGTCATATAAAGTTTTACTTTTCTACAGCTTTATTTAAGAACATATAACAACTGCCCTACTAGGCTAGGAAAGATATCAAATGGGTGATATCATAAGGAAAGCCCTGCTGGATCAGCCCAGCAGTCCATCTAGACCTGCAGCCCATATCCCACTGTGGCCAGACAGATAGCTGAGTGTAGGCACACCATTACCTATCTGGCTCAGAGTCACTGGAGATCTCCTCATTCAGCTTGGAGCCAGCTTTCTGCCAGGATTTCTCCTCTGCCACTGGAAGCTAGAAAATAAGAGATGCTTTTAAAACATAGCTGCAACACTGTTAGATAGAACTACCACTGCAAACCACAGTGTTCTTTCTCTGGTACGGTAGAAAAGCAGGAAAGATAGCACACAATCAGTAGCTGGATGAAAACTGGGGCACCCCTGCAGCCAGACTGAAATTTTACACCGATATACTATTAGTGACCCATAGCCCTCATCTGCAGATAGCTAAGACCATGGATCAGGGCCACGAGGATGCTAAACAGATCTTCCTTCAAACTTAGAGCACAGAGAATGTACTTAGGTAGCTGCTGCAGTTCAGCAGTGGCTGCCATCAGCTACAGCTTCAGGCTACAGATGCTCTGGGGCCCTAGTCACATGGGCCGGATATCGCAGGGGGAGGCGTGGCTAATCGCAGTTTGATCCACGATTACGCGATCAGACGCGCCGGCAGCACACCACGGGTCCTTCCCTTGGTGCGGGTGGGTAAACGAGGGTGGCGATCACACGACGATCCTGCAGTGCGGCAAAGAAGCGGCACAGCACGATCACACAAGCAATGGCTAGGCGCCGCTTTCCTCTTTGTGCGCATGCGCCGTTGGGTGCTTCTGTGCATCTTGTGGAGACTTGGGGGGGGACCCTGTTTGCGAAGGGACATTGGTGGGCGCCGGATGCCACCACCGGAAACGCGATCAGACGCCAGCCCTTGCCTTGCGGTTTCCGGAAACCAGTACCTCGGAGGTACTAGTTTTTAACTCAGCATCTTCGGCGGGAAGCCTCAGGTTCGCCACGGGAGCTCTACGCTTCCCAGATGTTGTGGTGTGATTCTGCCCGGAAAATCCGCCTATCTTCCGTCTCTGTAGCGTGGCTAATGCGCCGTGTGACCGCAGCCTGGGTCAGGCGACAGTGAAAGCCAGCAACTGTGGTGGGCCTGGGTGAGTCGGAGAACACCAGCATCTTCTGCGTGCCTGGCCACAGCAGCTGACACCAGCAGCTGCTTCAGGCCCAAGTGCAGCAATAGCCGATACCAGCACCCACTGCAAGCTCAGGTGAGAAGGCAGACAATGGCAGCTGCAGTGGGCCCAGGCACAGCAGAGGAGGATTCCAGTAGCCAAGCTCCATTGTAAGTGGTAGGGCCTGGAGCCTTGCCAGGCTCGGCATTGGAGGGGTATGGGATTCCCCCACTGCCACAAGTCTTCCGGCCCCTCCACTGATACCAAAGGAGAGAATCGGCAGTGCTGGGGAGGAGGATTCTTCCTTCCATGAGTATCTTGGGTTCCCACTTATATAGAATAATCCTTATCAACAATTCTACCAAACACAGAATGTCCAACTATTTATGCAGACACGGTGTAAACTACAAGACTGGCTCAAGATCAATTTGTAGTTTTAAGTTTCACAGATGATCTTAAGTGACTATTATTGCTTCCTTAAACTAACATTAAAGTTGGCAAGACACATGCCATTTTGGTGGTGGTGGAAGTCACAGCCAATTTATGGCAACCCCATAAGGTGTTCAAGGCAAGGGATGTTCAGAGGAGGTTTGCCATTGCCTGCCTGTGTTGTGACCCTGGACTTTCTTGGTGGTCTCTCACCCAAATAATTACCATAGCTGACCCTCCTTAGCTTCTGAGATCTGACCAGATCCAGCTAGCCTGGGCTACACAGGTAAGGGCAAACACCATTATTCATACAAGCAAGACTGCTTCCTGAGGCTACTCCTAGCATATTAATCAAAGAATAAAAAGGTAAAGGTAAAGGTTCCCTTGCTCGAAAGCCAGTCGAGTCCGACTCTAGGGTTACGGTGCTCATCTCCGTTTCAAAGCCGAAGAGCCAGCACTGTCCGAAGACGTTTCCGTGGTCATGTGGCCGGCATGACTAAGCACCAAGGCGCACGGAACGCTGTTATCTTCCCACCGAAGTGGTACCTATTTATCTACTTGCAATTTTTTGCTTTCGAACTGCTAGGTTGGCAGGAGCTGGAACTAGAGATGGGTCCCCTGAAATTCAGCAGATCTACTTTCTAGCCAGAATTTAACAGGCAATCCCCATAATACGTCCATTAAATTTTCATCCAACCCTTCTACCAGTGCCTCATCTGCCTGCCTGCCACCCGGATTAGAAAGAACTATGCGTGTTATTAATTGACCTACACTAGGTAATCCCGGAGTGCGGACTCTACGCACCCATCCTATACATACTCCATGGCCAAATCAACCTCAGAAGACCGACAGACCACCTTGCCTTTCCCTTCCCCACTATCTCCTTACTAACTTTTCGCCTTTTGCGTCCGGTCCCTCCAGCCGTGGTAGCAGAAACATCTCGCCGTTGCTTTTTCCGGTTCATGTCCCCAGCCGCCATGCTGTCCCTGCTAGACCGCTTCCTACACGTGGCTCTCCGATCCAATTCCCTAGGCCTCTCCGATAGGACAGAAGCAACATCGCCCTCCTCCCATTGGCCGAAATTCTGCTTAGGAACCCTGCCTCCTTCAGAAGTAGAGTGGTGGCGGTCCTTTGGTCTGAGATGCCACCTTATTCTCATTGGTCTAGACATTTCGATTAACTCAGCTAATAGGTCTCTCTCACTGGTCCTTTTAGGCTGCACGGCAATGATTATTAGGCATGCGCGTTGTATTATTCCGGGGGCGGGGCGATGAGGGCGCTGGATGCTCCTGTAGTATGGTTTGTGCACCAGTTGGAGGCAGCGTTGAGTAGGAGGCGGTGTAGGAGTAATATCCTTGGTGCAGGCAGCGCGGTGTTTAATATTGTTATGAAGTCCAGAGGGAGGAGAAATCGGGGAGGTGGGATTGTGGCAGCTAGTGAGTCAGTCTGCTAAATGCAGAGAATGACCGAAAGGGGAAAAAATGTTTGTCTTCGGGAAAGGGCGTGGCCTTGCCTTGGAGACCTGGGATCCCCCGGCTGGCTTTCTAGCTTGCATAAGGCTTTCCTATCAAACTTTGAGACGTACCTTCATCCCCCTCCCCCCCCCCTTTTAGTTTTTGCACTGAGCCTGATGAAGAGCTCTGAGAATGTCGGGAATTTGCTTTGGCATTTTTGTTACGATAACAGGGGGGAGGTTTCCCCTTAAAAACAAATACATGAAAATATTTCCTAACGAGATCCGCTGGAGGCGGGTTGGCATGGTTTATGTGCTTTGACAGTTCTGCAGGGGATGACCCAAGTACGAATTCCATGCACCGAGGCAAGGCCAGGGCTCCTCCCGCTGGGACTGCCGGGATCCCTTTGGCAGGATCTCGAAGGCGCCGGCGGCCATCTGCTCTCGCGGTTCCAGCGTCGATATAAACTGTCCATTCGTTGTCTTCTGGGCTGTGCTGGTGCCATTCCCGTAGAGGCGTGTTGCTGCTGCACTGTTATGTAGCAGGCAGGCTGAGGTCACCAGCAGGCAGGAGAAAGAGAAAGCACAGACTGCAGCCCGGACCGACTAGTCCAAACTTGCCCTGCTGCCGGCTTTTCCTCTACCAACGCCGACGGCGGACCCTCCCCGGTAAATTTGCTACTACCCCGGTGGTGGCTGCTCTTAAAGGATGCCTGTTTCTGTATTGTTGCTGAATTGATAAGTAAATATGGGACGATAATCCTGGAGCGGATCTCTAAAGCAGAGAAAAGTCAGGGACGTTCCCAAGGACCGAAGGGTTGCCGGTAGGGTAACCTCTCTTTTTTACTGTTGTTCGTCCTCTTTTGGGCTCTTTTTAAGAAAACTGATGAAAATGCCCTCTTTTGGGGTTGGAAGGTTAGGAATATTCCTAGTTAGTAGTGATTATCATAGTTTAAATAGTAGGGGTATTTAAAATGAGATTTGTCATAGTGATCACTTGTTTGAAGTAGTTAGTTGGGAAATGTGATCTCTTTTTTGCTTTTCAAAACATGGTAACCCTAGTTGCCAGCTATTGCACTTCATCCAGACCAGAGCTCCAGGGGTGGGTCAGTACACAGGCCTGGAAAGCACAGCCAGTGTAAGGACACAGGGTGACTGAACCCGGACAGGAAATATGTTGGTTGCTGAAGCCAAAGGGTTGCTGATCTTCTTTGATCAGACTTATAAACAGACCACGGAGGTGGTTTGGATTGGCCATGTGAGGCTGGTGAGATGCAACAAGATTAAATAAAGAATATATGGGCAAGTAGGCTAGTCGAAGTTCTTATGGGCTTGTAACTTTTGTGGCCTGCAGATCTTTACTTTCTGGGATAAGCAATATATCCAGTGAAATAACATTTCCAGAGTATAAGCTTTTGACAGCCAAAGCTCCCTTCCTCAGATTTATACAGGGAGTTCAGATATAGACATTTTCTGTTCACCATTTTCAAAATCTTGTAGTGTACCATAAATTGAGAAATTTATTTCCTGTTTGGCCCTAGATTGTTTGTATCATAGAAAGGAAACAAGGATAATCCTCTGGTCAGTATTTCCTTTGGCTCTGACACCATTTGATGGCATGTTGTTTTGAGACGAGACATGCCAATAGAGTTAAATGAAGACCATTCCCACTGTTATGTACTCTGAAATCAATTCCCAAGTACTAAATGAACATACGTAACATTGTTTATGATACACATAGATTTCTGCTTTTGATTTGGCTGCAAACTCTTCCCAGTGCAGGCAAAAGCTGTGATTCATGTATGCATGGACCATCTATATATCTAATAGCCAAGATGCTCCCTCTGTGCAGATATCTAAATCCACACATCAGGGGCACCTAGGGGGGCAGAGAGATTTCCCTGCATACTTGGAGCAGTCCCCAGGTGTGCAGAAAAATCTAAAAAGTTGAAAAATGTATGGGGGATATTTAAATCCCCCCAAAAGTAAAAGAGCATTCCCTGCACATGTGCAGAGAATGCCCTGGCAACTGTCTCACCACCGCTGTGGGGGGGGGGCCTTGGCGGGCCAGCGGCTGTGAGCCACACAGGCCTCTCCACTGCCGGTGCCGGGGGGGGAGGAGGGAGAAGGCTTGGTGAACTTCAGGGCTCCTCGCCGCCACCGGGCAGGGGGGCGGGAGAAGGCTTGGCGGGCCAGTGGCTGTGAGCCGCTCAGGCCTCGCTGCAACCGGTGCGGGGTGGGGGAGAGAAGGCTTGGAGGGCCTCATGGGTCCGCCTGCTGGGCTCACCTGCTGCCGCTTCCTCCTCCTGCGGAGCTCCTGCTTCTGCAGGCCGGGAGCTGTGGGGAATACTCCCCCCCCGCGAGTATCGTGGGTCCCCCTTCTTGTTAATAAATGATAGCAGCACAGAGCAAGAACATTCTGTTCCCATTGAGAATGCAAGTAGAAATTGTGCCCTTTACCTATCCTGGATGGCCTGACTCAAATGGCTCAGGCTAGCCCAATGTTGGAAACTAAGCAGGTTTGGCCCTGGTTAGTACTTGGGTGGGAGGACCACCAAGGAAGTCCAGTGTTGCTGTGTTAAGGCAGGCAATGGCATATAATCTCCAAACGTCTCTTGCCTCAAAAACCCTATGGGGTCACTATAAGTCAGCTGCAACTTGACAGCACTTTCACCACCATACTGGAGATAGGATGGTCACAAATTTGAAACCAGTGGACTTGTGTCAGATTTAGACTGTCAGGATCAATCTTTGAGATTTCCTTATGAGTGACAAGAAAATAAGTTGCTTGAAAGTTTGAACTGAAGGTTTCGGGTTTCCTGATCTGATTAATGCTCCAAACTGATACACTCAGAATCATTTTGCTATCGAAATATTGCGGGGGGGGGGGCCTTTCCTAAGGCAAAAAGGTTTGAAGTGGTGTGACTGAGCACCAACCTGTGTGCTGCATAGATCTGTGACTGGATTGGATCCCCTGATGTTTTTCTTTCTTGATTAAACAGAAGTCTAGTGACACCTCAAGGACCAACAAATTTTATTCCTGCATAAACGTTTGTGAGTCAAAACTCACTTTATCAGGCACATCTAATTGATTATCTCTGTGATGAAGTGAGCTCTGACTCACAAAGGTTTACACTGGAATAAATGTTGTAAGGTCCTTAAGGTGGTACTGGGCTCCTGTTCCACTTTGCTATAATAGAAGAACATGGCTGTCCCTTTGGAATCTTTTTTTCTAAATGAAATGAGATAGGGAGTGGGGAGGTGGCAGATTGATCAGAACATGGGGGAAGGTGCATAACTAATCCCCTGCATGATGTTTACCTGACTGAATTCCCTCCCTACTGCTGCGGGGGGAGGGGGAGATATCGTTATTGCCACTGTTACCCTTGTAGGCCTAGCAGCAGTTCAGGGGGAAGAGATTTCTATTCGGAAAATACACACGTAACTACTAATACAGCTGCTGCAATCAGATTGTCAGCTCCCTGCAGCCACGTTTCATTTAAAAAAGAAAAAGTATCACGATTCCCCTGCCTGTCACAAAGTTTGGTCCTGGGCTGACTAGGAACCAGAGTGTTTAGGACCCTGTGTAACCTGGTGGAGATAACTGAGAGTGGGACACTTTTGCCTTTGGCTGTGCATGCTGCAGAAGTTTGTGTTGTTTGCCAAGGGTGTAGGCTTCAGCCTCTGGCTTAGGTTCATCATGCTAAAGTTAGCATGTTTGAATAAAGATGCAGCAAAGCTGGTTTCCTTGGGAATCTGTCAAGCTATGTTAGAGCAACGTCTAAACACAAAAGCTGTGGATTAATTGAAACCACACAACAAGGCAAATGACTAAGAAGCAGCTAGCACTGAAACAGGGCAGGGCTGTGGGTTTCCAATATGAGTCCTACAACCAGCTCTTTTTCTTTTTCACTTTGAGTGGACAGCAGGGACTGAGCTCTCTTTGAAACATCAGTGGTTTGCAACTGGTCCCCCCAGGAGTGCACACGCAGGATTGAGTCTCTCTCTCTCTCTCTCTCTTTTTCTTGCAGTACAATCCTGTGAGCCCTTCCCTAGGAGTATGCCCCATTGAATACAGTGTAGGGTTGCCAGTCTCCCGCTTTTACAACTGATCTCCAGCTGACTGAGATTCAGCTCCCCTGGAGAAAATGGCTGCTTTGAAGTGTGGACTCTACGGCATTGTACCATGCCCCAACCCCTCCCTCTCCCGAATCCACCCCCAAAGTCTCCAGGTATTTCCCAACCCGGACTTGGCAATCCTAATACAGTGGGACTTACTTATGAGTAAACCTGGTTGAAATTTTGCTGTCTCAGCCACTGAGTAGTCCCATCCAAAGACATCCAAAGCACATCTAGTTTGTATATTCAGTTGTCAATGAAGTGCTGCCTGGCAGGGGCTTTTCTAGCATCTCTGCTGTTATGAAGCACAATTTCCAGTCCCCCCAGCAATGTGCCATGAACACTAAGCCAATCTTTCTGTCCTTCTCTGGTGGGAAGGGGTCTAACCAGTGGACAAGGTTGCCATGTCAGAACTCCTCAGAT